GAGAGAGAGAGAGAGAGAGAGAGAGAGAATTTTTAATATTTATTTTTTAGTTTTCGGCGGACACAACATCTTTGTATGTGGTGCTGAGAATCGAATCCCGGGCCGCACGCATGCCAGGCGAGCGCGCTACCTCTTGAGCCACATCCCCAGCCCCTGAATAAATTTGTTTTTGAAAATTGGTTATGAGGAAATTCTAAATATGTTTTAATGTATTTGGTATAAATGTTAAAGTGGCTTAATATCCATGAAGTCATTATAAATCCAAGAATAAATATAATGACTGAAGAGAAATATTGAGGTTAATTTGCTTTTGCATTTTATTGGTAAACAATAACCCTTTATTTTGCAGTGCTGTCAGTTGGCCTTTCCATTTGACATGTTTCTATTATGAGAAATTCAGTGTCCAGGAATTTCAGGCATTGCTCTTGAGATTTTTAAAAATTGTGATCTCCTTTTAAGTGTGTATCTAATATAAAGATTAATTTATGTCATGAACCAAATTTCCTGGAGTATAAACCTCAAATTTACTATCATTTTTATAGAATAAAGGAGAAAGAAGTAATATTTTAGGATATTTTTGGATATACTTGTTGTGTGTGCATAATCCAAGTTGAAGGCAAAAGACACTTTAAACATTGTTCTTGTAGTTACTACTCTTTTTGTCAGATAATACTAATTTATAATTTATAATGTGGAACATGCAGTCAGCCTTTTATAGAAAAAGATGTATATTTCAGTGGATCACAGAACAACACATAAAGAATACATATAGAAATAAAATATGAAGCCTAAATATTAGTCCAAAAGATGGTGATCTTTTAGGGATATCAGTGAAATATATCTTGCAGTTTTCAGTTTTCTTTTATCAACAAAAGAAAATGTTGATAATTTGGGAAATAGAGAAAGAGATTGAAGCATATTATACAGGAAATTGAAACTGAAATTTTATCCTGTGCATATTAAAACTTGGTGAACATTTGGATCTTTTCTTTTTTCCAGATATTTGGTTTTCAGGCAGGACTGACATCTTTGGATGTTAGTGGATCTTACTGCTTACCTGTACCAATTATTCCCTCCTTCAGCACTGCTCTTTATGGTAAATTTCTGAAATTCCCCACTTGCTGGTAAGCACTGTATGTTAAAATGTGTTTTATGTTAATTTTCATTTTATAATTTTAGGGAGGAAAAAGAAAATATTTCTGTCTTACGTCCATATGTTAGTACTATCAACTATATTATAGTGTAAATGTCTAAATGTGTTTGTTTATCGTGTCTTTTCTGTAAATAGTAATTGTTGATCTATCATTGAAGTTTAAGAACGTGTTGTAGCTTCAGATTGTAATAGAAACTGCAAGAGCAAGTGTACACCCCCTTTTAAAAGTTTTAGAAAAGAGGTGCTTTTAATATGAAGGCCTGAGTATTCATGTATTAAATAATTTCAAATGTATTCATAGCCACTGAGCAAAGCATATGCATTACATATAAAATTATAATATGTTTGTCATTATAGCTACATTTTGGAAGAAACTGATTTTTAGTTCTTATTTTTATTCAGTGTGGGTTGCTTTAGTTGGAGGTCATTTTTACTTAAATTGAAAGAGATTTATAGAAAAGTCATATTTTCTAGTAATATTGTCTAGTCATATCACTTTAGTTAAAAATAATGCTTTTAATATATTAAAGAAATTAAAGTATTTTTGCACTTGAAAATGTGAAATATTTCATTTGTTTGTAAAGTATATTGTTGCTTTCTCATCCTAATTAGCAATCTTATTATCTTTTAAAGTGTTTTTTTTTTTTTAGTTGTTGATAGACCTTTATTTTATTTATTTACATGCTGTACTGAGAATTGAACCCAGTGCCTCACTCATGGCAGGCAAGTGTGCTACTGCTGAGCCCTAGCCCCAGTAACCTTATTTTTACAGAGTATTTTGTTGATTTTTTAAATTATTATTAAAAGAAAGAAAATAGGTATTTTTTAAAATCTAAAATGCTTTAAATTCTTTAATAGTATTTAACTTTTGAATTAGTAAGGTAAATGTTCACATTTTAGTTCTAGAAGTTTCCTGGTGGAGATTTTTGTGTCTTCTAAATATAGAATAATGAGAAGTAGGGATAGTTTGAGTTTTTTTCTTTTCCTATTTATATCCCTTTAATTTCTTACTTTTGTCTAAAAAATTGCTCTGACTAGAGTTTCAAGGATGGGTTTGAATGAAAGTGGTGAAAGAGTCATGTTTCAGTTCTTGGTGGGAATGCTTTCAATCTTTCTCCAATTAGAATAATGTTGGCCTTGGTTTTAGCATAGGTAGTTTGTACAGTGTTGAGGTACATTCCTACTATCCCTAGCTTTGCTAGTAGTGTTCTTTCACTTCTTACTTGTGTCTCTGTTTTCACTCCTTTTACTGTCTTTTATTTTGCAGATTATGTGTATTTTAAATTATTTTTCTGACATTTCTTCCTCTGTGGGGTAGATGGATTCTATTACCGGAGTAACTAGGATTGTGTGAGGCAATCTGTTGTGTTGCTTTTTCATTATTTTGTGTGTCCTTCCATGTAATATTATAGATAGAGGCAGTAGAATTTCTACCCGTTGGACTTATAGTGTCTCTGAATGTTTCTTACTATGATGTCTATAATTTTAATTATCACAGTAAACAGAAAGGATATGTCAGCTTTTGTCTACATTAAAAACAACAAGTTTGCAAAAGGAATTACAATTTCAAATGGTAGGCAGGGAAAAAAACAGTGATATTGGATGTGATGATAATGAGGGAGGAGGAGTGAATATAGGAGTAAAAAGGAAGAGTGAAAGAGAGAACAATAGAAATTGGCTGTTTTTGGAGTAAGAGAGAGAAAAAAATCAAGGGATAAAGAAAACTATATATGAAGAAAATTTTTTTAAAGTTAAAAATAAATGTAAAAGTAAAGGAATGCAAAAGAAAACTAGAATATTACTAATCTAACACCCTAGACTTCAAAAAACTGATCTTCGAAAAATAAGTGGCTTCAAAAATCATAGAAATGAGAAAAAAATATGGGTATGTATAAGGTTTGGAAAATTTTGTGATTTTTTTTCATTCTTCTTTATGCCCGAGTAATATTCCATTGTGTATATAGAGCACATTTTCTTTATCCATTCATCTGTTGAAAGGCATCTAGATTGGTTCCATAGCTTACTTATTGTGAATAGAGATCTTGTAAATATTGATGTAGTTGTGTTGCTGAACTATGTTGATTTTAAGTCTTTTGGGTATACACCAAGGAGTGGGATAACTGGGTCAAATGGTGATTTCATTACCAGTTTTCTAAGGAATCTCTATAATCTCTTTATTTCCATAGTGGTTGTACCAATTTGCAATCCCACCAGCAATGTATGACAGTACCTTTTTCCCCACATCCTCCACAACATTTTTTGTTACGTGAATTCTTGATAATTGCCATTATGACTAGAGCGAGCTGGAATCTAAGTGTAGTTTTAATTTGCATTTCTCTAAGTTCTAGAAATGTTGAATTTTTTTAAATATTTGTTGACCATTCATATTTCTTCTGTGAAGTCCCTGTTTAGTTTCTTTACCCATTTAATGATTGAGTTATTGGTTTTTTGTTTTTAAGTTTTTCGAGTTCTCTATATATCCTAGAGATTTGTGCTCTATCTGAAGTATAAGTGGCAAAGATTTTCTCCCATTCGCTAGGATCTCTGTTTACATTCTTGAATGTTTCCTTTACTGTTGAAGAAGCTTTTCAGTTTGTTGTCATCCCTTTTATTGATTCTTGATTTTATTTCTTGTGCTTTCGGAATCTTGTTGAGATAGTTGGTTCCTAAGGTGACATGATGGAGAATTGGGACTGCATTTTCTTCTAATAGGTGCGGGAGCTCTGTTCAAATGCCTGGGACCTTGATCCACCTTGAGTGATGGGGGCTAAATTTCCTTGTAGTATATATGCATTTCCAGTTTTCTCAGCACTATTGTTGAAGAGGCTATCTTTTCTCCAGTGTAGAGTTTTGGTCCCTTTGTCTAAGATGAGATAAGTGTATTTATGTGAGTTTGTCTCTGTGTTTTCTATTCTATTCCATTGGACCACATGTCTGTTTTAGTGCCAATGCTATGCTGTTCTGTTAGTAGAGATTTGTAGTATAATTTAAGGTATGATATTGTGATGCTTCCTGTTTCCCTTTTCTCACTAAGGATTGCTTTGGCAATTCTTCTTTGTTGAGAGCCACGGCCAGGTCAGGATGGTGCCTGGCAGGCACAAATCACAAGCCACTTGAAGATTCAAGCAGGAACGAACTTTATTTTTAGAACTCATGGGCACCCTGCCCACACGAACTCTCCAGGAACTCCCCAGAGCTCCACCTGAACTTTGGGAACTTTGGAGCACTCAACTGGAACTCAACCAGGAACTCCACCCACGCAAACTCTCTAGGAACTCCTTGAGAGCCCAACCAGAACTCAACCAACCCATGCGATCTCTCTAGGAACTCCGGAATAGTGGGCACCAGAGGCAGCAGGACCTCGCTCCTTGTGGCAAAATGCCAGGCACCATCTTGACCTGGCTGTGGCTCTCAACATTTGTCCCTTCTTTTTAATGTGGGCTTTAAGCTCACTTCATCTGATAGGATAGAAACCCCTGTTTTTAACAAGATATATGTGAATGACATTTTTTTTTCCTATTCTTTATTCTGGATATCTTTGCCTATGAGGTGAGTCTCTTGGAGACAGCACATTTTGGGGTCTTATTTTTTTTTATCTAATCTGCTAGTCTATGTCTTGATTGATGAGCTTAGGCCATTTATAGTCATTGCTGTTATTGAGTGATGACCTTTGTTCTACCCCCTTTTTTTCATTTCTAGTTTTTAATTTGTATTAATTTCTCCTTAGATTGATTATTGTAGTGTAGTTCCTCCTTCTGTTAGTTTTTATTTATTTTTAATTTCTTCTTCATGAAATATTTTATTGAGTAATGTTTGTAGTGCAGGCTTTTTAGTTGTGAATTCTGTTAACTTTTTTTTATGATGAGAGGTTTTTACTTCTTCAAATATGGAGGTTTATTTTGCTGGATATACTGTTCTTGGTTGACATCCATTTTCTTTCAGAGCTTGGTATATATTATTCCAAGACTTCCTAGCTTTAATTAGCATCTGGGTGACAAATCATCTGCAATCAATTGTTTTCTCTCTAAATGTGACCTGTCATTTTTCTCTAGGCACCTTTAAAATTCTATTCTTTTTCTGTATGTTAGGCATTTTCATAATAACGTGCCTTGATGTGGGTCTGATGTATTTTGTATGTTTTGAATCCTTTATATCTTCTGTATTTTATCTTGCATTCATTTTTAAGGTTTGGGAAGTTTTATTTTACTACCGTTCTATGTATTTTATTTTATTTGATGAATTTATTCTTACCCTGGATTTGTATCAAGGTGACAAGTTTTACCTTAATTACAACCGAGGTCTCAAATATCTTTTTTGTTTGTAGTGGAAATAATGATTTTATTACAAGAATGTGTGTGTGTGTGTGTGTGTATTTATGTATATATGTGTTTTTTCCCTTGTAGGTTGTAGGCTTTATTTTGGTTTAGAATATTCTTCCTAAAAATTATGTCATTCAATTTTCTGTGAATTTGTCTTGACTGAATGATCCTTATTAATTATATTATATGTGTTAAAATTTTATAGAAATAATGCCTTCTAAGTCATCTTTGCATGAAAAGTATTCCAGAACTAAATTTAACATTTGGTTTCAAATATGATTTTTTCTTTTTTTATTGAATTATTTATTTAGTCTAATTTGTTATACAGGATGGCAGAATGTAATTTATTTCATTTTACACACATAGAGCACAATTTCAAGTCACTGATGTACACAAAGTATTTTCACACCATTCATGTCTTATTCATGTACTTAGGATAATGATGTCTAATTCATTCCATCATCATTCTTACCTCACTGCCCCTCCCTTCCCCTTCCTCCTCTTTGCCCTATCTAAAGTTCTACCATTCCTCCCATGCTCCCCCCCATCACCATTATGAGTCAGCATCCTCATATATCAAATAAAACATTTGGCCTTTGGTTTTTGGGGATTGGCTTACTTAGCATTATATTGTCCAGCTCCATCCATTTAC